ACACGCAGCGCTGGGATGAAATGTCTTTAATGGAAGGAAGAGGAGCCCCCATGATCCTCTCTGCTGTTCTCAGCTTCTTCCAGTCTGAGGCGCTGCAGCCTCCACACCACACAGTAAGACAGCTGCTCTGAACGCTCTCTATGGTGCTTCTGGAGAAGGTGGGGAGGATGGGGGGGGCAGGTGGGCTCTCCTCATCCTCAGCAGGAAGTCCAAGCGCTTCTGGGCCCTTTGGACCAGTGAGGTGGTGTTTCTAGTCCAGGTGAGGGTGTGTATGCACGCAGGTTGTCGGGAGCTATAACCGAAGCCATCATGGCACCACCACCGTGGATTTGGCTGCTCAACTTTAACCTGAGGCCCTCTGTTGTATAACTTTCCCTATTTGGATTTTTTACAACAAACAGACTGTCATGATTGGTTACTGAGTAAGCCCAATATGCAGAACACAAACGGAGGCTGATGAAAAGTTTAACAAGGTTTATTGTAACACAAGCACATGAATATTGCAACTGGAACAGGTTCAGGCCTGGGGGCAGGTTCACTGGAGTCTGCAGGGATGACAGTTCAGTTAGCACAGGGACTGATGAGTTATGAGTCTTTGAGTTTGCTGACGAATACCTTGGAGGACTCCGGGTTTCTCTTTGAGAGAGGTAACTGTTGGATCCAGAGACTGTTTGTTCGGCAGAGCCCAATAACTGCTTCAGCGTCTTACTTCTGACTTTGAGGGCAGACCTTGATTTGGACTTCCAGCTCTTAACCAAGAGCTGCAGGGGAATCCAGAGAAGAGTCTTCAGGTTTGGCTCACGAGGGCAGGCTCGGCAGGTTAAGCTCATCCAGAGCTTCAAGGAGAGACAGGATTCCTGTGAGGCAAAAAACAAGGAAGAATTAGAATCTTATCTCTACAGGAGATAGCAAAGATTCTCAGGTTTACTAGGATCAGGTTGCTAACCAAACTAGATCAACACTGCGGCGTTGAGGCAAGGTCTGAAGGCAGGTTATATAGCGGTGGATCCCCTGATGATGAGATGGGCCACAGGTGTGTTGGAGGCTCAGCTCAGGAGGACCCATGGCGCACTCTGCTGGAGGAAGGTGGTACAGCTCCAGATCCCAACACAGACACATCAAAATGTTGGACCATGTTTTTCTCAGTGTAGGTCATGTTGTTTTCCTTCTGATGGTCTGATATCCTCCTCCTTTCAGGGTGGAGCCTGCTGGAGAACGATGGTTGACACCAGGTCTGAGGAAGTGTAAGTTATTTTTTTTATCAGATTCATGACAGCAAAGCAGCTCACATCAACCATCTTCAATCTGTCCATCAATCACTCAGGAGGCTTCATCAAAGAGTCAATAAATGATGAATAACTGCAGCCGAACTGTTTCTGTTCTCTCCATCAGATTCCTGTCAGATCACCATCGACACAAAGACAGTGAGCAGAAAACTGAAAATGTCTGAAGACAACAGGATTGTGATCTATGTGAAGGAGTTTCATTCCTATCCTGATCATCCAGATAGATTTGATGAACCTCAGCTGCTGTGTAGTGATGGTCTGACTGGTCGATGTTACTGGGAGGTCAAGTGGAGAGGATATGCTAATATAGCAGTGAGTCAGAGAAGAGTCAGGAGGAAAGGAGGCAGTTTAGACTGCAGGTTTGGAGAGAATTATCACTCCTGGAGTCTGAGATGCTCTTACAACGGTTACTCTGTCTGGCACAACGGCAGAGAAACATCTATCTCCTCTTCCTCTGCCTCTAACAGAGTGGCAGTCTATGTAGACTGTCCTGCTGGCATCCTGTCCTTCTACAGAGTCTCCTCTGACTCTCTGATCCACCTCCACACCTTCAACACCACATTCACTGAACCTCTGTACCCTGGGTTTGGGTTCTCCTGGTTCAGCTCTGGTTCCTGGGTGTTTTTGTGCTGAGTTGAGTTTAAAGGAATAGTACACCCAAAACATGATTAGCCTTCATTTTCTACTCACCCCCATGCTGAACAACACTCTGGAGTACTTTTTTGATATCTCAAATGCATCTGGAGATCTGGGAGGCTTCTTGCTGTCTGCTGACATTCAAATAATGGAGGTCTATGGCGCCCGAGGCAGAAAGGTCCATAAAAGTCCACAAAAAACGTGTCAATATTCCTCCATACTGCTCGTCCAATGTATTCCAAGTGTCCTGAGTGGGTAGCATCCAGAATTTACTCGAAACGAAGTCATTTAGAATATTTTTAGAGCATAAACAGTAGTGTATAGGATTTCCTAAAAGTGCGTTCACGAGTCTACGGAAACCGCGGCAGACCAAACCAGATGAAAGTGCGCATTCAGCTCGGCAAAGAACTCATGCTCTTCCTCAACACTGAAGTCCTCAGACATTTTTCTTTCGTTGTTTCTTTCTTTGCACAGGTAAACAGCACATTTCTTCTTCTACGCTTGCATTATCAGCAGAGCAGACGCTGAATGCGCACTTTCATCTGGTTTGGTCTGCCGCGGTTTCCGTAGCGTCGTGAACGCGCTTTCAGGAAATCCTATACACTACTGTTTATGCTCTAAAAACATTCTAAATGACTTCGTTTCGAGTAAATTCTGGACGCTACCCACTCAGGACACTTGGAATACATTGGACGAGCAGTATGGAGGAATATTGACACGTTTTTTGTGGACTTTTATGGACCTTTCTGTCCTCGGGCGCCATAGACCTCCATTATTTGAATGTCAGCAGACAGCAAGAAGCCTCCCAGATCTCCAGATGCATTTGAGATATCAAAAAAGTACTCCAGAGTGTTGTTCAGCATGGGGGTGAGTAGAAAATGAAGTCTAATCATGTTTTGGGTGTACTATTCCTTTAAACACTCTTCTCCTGTTGAACAGTCCGGCCTGCACATGTTCATGTTCATTTAGTCTACCTTTTTAAAACTCTTCTAAATGATTTCTTAGAAATGTTTTCAAGTTTAAAGCTGGGATCATTCCAGGATTCATGAGATGTTTTCCGTGAATCTACCTTGTACCAGTCAAAGCTTCAAACTAAATATCTGGATGTTGTGTTTGTCTCGTCTTGTTTTTTATTGTATTCGTTTTCTTTTCTATTTTATTTACACTTTTTATATTAAAATGCTACACTTTTATATTTACTGCAGGTTTACTTCTCGTGTATTAGTGTGCAAATATTTTTTTCTCCTTGATTTGATTCATCTGCTGTTTATGTTCTTCTGTTGTGTTCAAATGTTAATAAGCTAAAAAAATTGGACGTTTTTTTCTTCCCATTTTTATGAGATGAACTAAGATATCTAAAACTTTTTTCCACATACACGATATAACCATTTCCCTCCAATATTGTGTACAAACCTGTCTAAATCAGTGAAAGTGAGCGCTTCTTTGCTGATATAATCCATCCCACCTCACAGGTGTGCCATGATTAGTGCCTAGGTGTGTCTTAGACTGCCCACAATAAAAGGCCAATCTGAAAGGTGTCGTTTTATCACACGGCTCAATGCCAGAGTCTTTGAAAAAGAAGCTGATTAGCCAGTCGCTTCATTTGGATGGGATTAAACTGATTTCAGATAATAAAGTAAAAAATCTTGGTGTTGTTTTCGATCAGGACCTGTCATTTAAATCCCAGATCAAAGAGGTTTCTAGAATTTCCTTCTTTCATCTGAGGAAAATTGCAAAAATGAGAAATCTCAATGGATGCGCCATGTTGTGTATAGACGCTATACTGTGTGGAGGAGAGAAAGAGACCTGCTGTAATCTGAGCATGAGCAGAAAGCCATCTTAACAAAAGCATGAAAAGTGCGATCAAGAGAAAGAAAAAAGGCAAAACATGAAGAAAGGTGTGCTTCCTTTGAAGGAAGGAACATTTAGGAACTTGGTTCTGATCTGAACTCCTGACCAGGCTGATCCGCAGCTCCTCTGTCTGCCTCGCCTTGAATATCAGGTCCCAGACATGGACATGTCCTCCTTTATGTCCTCAGGCTTTACTTCTGGGCCGACTCAGTCGTCATATCAACGGTTGTTCAGTATCCTGACATTTGCTCCTCGGAAAAACGTACTGCCTCCATGGATTGAAAATTTACCTCCTGTTATTAAAAGGTGCCATTAAAAAAAAAAAAAAAGAAGGTTGCCATAAAGAGATTTTTCACATTTTAGAACAGAATAGAGTAGAATAGAATAAAAAATCCCTTTATTGTCCCACAATGGGGACTATTTGATACAAAGATCCAAATGGAGTCGTTTGTGTGTTTGGTTATTAGACTCTGTGGTCGGAAAAAAGTATTCAACTATTCGCTCCAGTTAAATGAACAGAAATCAATGCATTTCACTCACTCAGCACTTTCAACATTTCATCATACGGCCGATTTTGCACGGTTATCAGCCCTGTTCTGATCTCGGCAGCGTTCATTCCCCTTTACTAACAATAATGGAAAGTAGTCAGAGTCAAAACAAAGCTTTGGTTAAACAGCAACATGTTATGAATAAACCTGAGAAAGAATCAGGTTTGTTAAGGGAAGAAGTACATCTTGTCTGCAAAAACCCTCACAGAGGCATCATGTGGCCTTGCAGGTGAAACAGACTGAGTGAAAACTTTTTTCAGAGAGTAAACAGTATACATCAATTTACGAAATAAGAGAAATCTAAATTATCCGACAGCCAAAGAGAAAGAGAAGAGACAAAGTGTGAGTAACATTAATGGAACCATGTAACAGCCATCCTAAATCACCTTCACCGGCTCCATAAAGCAGGATGACTGAGAATCTTTATCTGCAAAATCTATACATTTGATTTTATACATCAAGACTCATAATAATTGTTAAACTATTTGTTTTTAATCTACATGGAGCACAAATTGTCCAGTTGTTCCTAACAAAGACAGAAGAATTACTAGAAAACACGAAAGTATAATAGTTTTATTAAACCTCCTCCATGCTGAGGGCCCGATCAGGTACCACAGGCTCTGGCTGCAGTACCAAGTACCTCCACAGGATGGCGACAGTTAGACTTTAGGTCGCATGTTACCTTCCTGAGACTAAGAAGAAGAGCATGTTCAGTGTGTTGTTCTCTGAACTGAACTCGGCGGTGTTTAGTGTCATCATATTCAGGTATTTTGTCGGTGTTTTTCTCTCTAACCGGAGCGGAAGCAGCAGTAGCCTCGAGTGAACTGGCGGACCGACCCGCAGCGCGTCTCTGCGGGACAACATGTACCGCGGACGGCCCGAGTTTAGAGACTACCCGCCTCCCCATAGGCCTCATCCGTCAGCGGGCTACCGGGATGAGCGGCCCAGACCAAGACCTCCGTACCACCAGGACTACCCGGACTACCGGGACCACGCAGCCCAGGACCCCTACCGCCGCAGGTACTCCTCCCCCGGCTCCGGAGGCCACCGCGGCGGGGATTTCTGGAGCGGAGCTTCGCCTCTTGAGGTGAGTCAGGCTGGGTCCAAATGAAGCCGAATGACCCAGAAACCTTGAACCATCCATCCAGGAAAGAGTCCAGCTCCATACTGGTCCAGAACCCGGAACACTGAACAATGTTTGGTTCTGCGGGTTTCTGATCCAGTTCTCAGCTTTCAGCCTGAGCTGCAGACCAGACTCCATTCAAAGATGGACAGATTTAACCCTGGAGCTGCTGGTCTGTCGCCCTGCTGCAAAGAGTGGGTCATTTCTAGACAGGATGGTTCTAGATCACTGTTCCAGAAAACACACCATGGAACAGGAAGTCTAGATGGACCCAGAGGTTCGGTTTATTAATGATTTGGTGTCTCCTGCAGAGATCTCCGTCCCACCGAAGACCGACCCACATGGACCACAATGAGCTGGTTCACCATGGCTCTGTCCCCGCTCCGCTCCACCATGAAAGGTAACCAGAGACACACCGCAGAACGAGTCAGAGGTTCTGCAATCAGAGGTTCTGCAATCAGAGGTTCTGCAATCAGAGGTTCTGCAATCAGAGGTTCTGGAGTCAGAGGTTCTGCATTCAGAGGTTCTGGAGTCAGAGGTTCTGGAGTCAGAGGTTCTGCAGTCAGAGGTTCTGCAGTCAGAGGTTCTGGAGTCAGAGGTTCTGCAATCAGAGGTTCTGGAGTCAGAGGTTCTGCAGTCAGAGGTTCTGCAGTCAGAGGTTCTGCAGTCAGAGGTTCTGCATTCAGAGGTTCTGCATTCAGAGGTTCTGGAGTCAGAGGTTCTGGAGTCAGAGGTTCTGCAGTCAGAGGTTCTGGAGTCAGAGGTTCTGGAGTCAGAGGTTCTGGAGTCAGAGGTTCTGCAGTCAGAGGTTCTGCATTCAGAGGTTCTGGAGTCAGAGGTTCTGCATTCAGAGGTTCTGGAGTCAGAGGTTCTGCATTCAGAGGTTCTGGAGTCAGAGGTTCTGCAATCAGAGGTTCTGCATTCAGAGGTTCTGGAGTCAGAGGTTCTGCATTCAGAGGTTCTGCATTCAGAGGTTCTGGAATCAGAGGTTCTGCAATCAGAGGTTCTGCAATCAGAGGTTCTGCAATCAGAGGTTCTGCATTCAGAGGTTCTGCATTCAGAGGTTCTGGAGTCAGAGGTTCTGCAGTCAGAGGTTCTGCATTCAGAGGTTCTGCATTCAGAGGTTCTGGAGTCAGAGGTTCTGCAATCAGAGGTTCTGCAGTCAGAGGTTCTGGAGTCAGAGGTTCTGCATTCAGAGGTTCTGGAGTCAGAGGTTCTGGAGTCAGAGGTTCTGCAGTCAGAGGTTCTGCATTCAGAGGTTCTGGAGTCAGAGGTTCTGGAGTCAGAGGTTCTGCAATCAGATGTTCTGCAGTCAGAGGTTCTGCAGTCAGAGGTTCTGGAGTCAGAGGTTCTGCATTCAGAGGTTCTGGAGTCAGAGGTTCTGGAGTCAGAGGTTCTGCAGTCAGAGGTTCTGCATTCAGAGGTTCTGGAGTCAGAGGTTCTGCAGTCAGAGGTTCTGCATTCAGAGGTTCTGGAGTCAGAGGTTCTGCATTCAGAGGTTCTGGAGTCAGAGGTTCTGCATTCAGAGGTTCTGGAGTCAGAGGTTCTGCAATCAGAGGTTCTGCATTCAGAGGTTCTGGAGTCAGAGGTTCTGCATTCAGAGGTTCTGCATTCAGAGGTTCTGGAATCAGAGGTTCTGCATTCAGAGGTTCTGCATTCAGAGGTTCTGGAGTCAGAGGTTCTGCAATCAGAGGTTCTGCATTCAGAGGTTCTGCAATCAGAGGTTCTGCAATCAGAGGTTCTGCAATCAGAGGTTCTGCATTCAGAGGTTCTGCAATCAGAGGTTCTGGAGTCAGAGGTTCTGCAATCAGAGGTTCTGCATTCAGAGGTTCTGGAGTCAGAGGTTCTGCATTCAGAGGTTCTGCATTCAGAGGTTCTGCATTCAGAGGTTCTGCATTCAGAGGTTCTGGAGTCAGAGGTTCTGCATTCAGAGGTTCTGCAATAAGAGGTTCTGCAATCAGAGGTTCTGGAGTCAGAGGTTCTCCAATCAGAGGTTCTGCATTCAGAGGTTCTGCAATCAGAGGTTCTGGAGTCAGAGGTTCTGCAATCAGAGGTTCTGCATTCAGAGGTTCTGCATTCAGAGGTTCTGCAATCAGAGGTTCTGCAATCAGAGGTTCTGCAATCAGAGGTTCTGCAATCAGAGGTTCTGGAGTCAGAGGTTCTCCAATCAGAGGTTCTCCAATCAGAGGTTCTGCATTCAGAGGTTCTGCAATCAGGTTCTGCAATCAGAGGTTCTGCATTCAGAGGTTCTGCAATCAGAGGTTCTGCAATCAAAGGTTCTGCAATCAGAGGTTCTGGAGTCAGAGGTTCTTCATTCAGGGTTTCTGGAGTCAGAGGTTCTGCATTCAGAGGTTCTGCATTCAGAGGTTCTGGAGTCAGAGGTTCTGGAGTCAGAGGTTCTGCAGTCAGAGGTTCTGGAGTCAGAGGTTCTGCAGTCAGAGGTTCTGCAGTCAGAGGTTCTGCAATCAGAGGTTCTGCAATCAGAGGTTCTGCAATCAGAGGTTCTACATTCAGAGGTTCTGGAGTCAGAGGTTCTGCAATCAGAGGTTCTGGAGTCAGAGGTTCTGCATTCAGAGGTTCTGGAGTCAGAGGTTCTGCATTCAGAGGTTCTGGAGTCAGAGGTTCTGCATTCAGAGGTTCTGGAGTCAGAGGTTCTGCAATCAGAGGTTCTGCATTCAGAGGTTCTGGAGTCAGAGGTTCTGCAATCAGAGGTTCTGCATTCAGAGGTTCTGGAGTCAGAGGTTCTGCATTCAGAGGTTCTGGAATCAGAGGTTCTGCATTCAGAGGTTCTGCATTCAGAGGTTCTGGAGTCAGAGGTTCTGCATTCAGAGGTTCTGCAATCAGAGGTTCTGCATTCAGAGGTTCTGCATTCAGAGGTTCTGGAGTCAGAGGTTCTCCAATCAGAGGTTCTTCATTCAGAGGTTTTGCAATCAGAGGTTCTGGAGTCAGAGGTTCTGGAGTCAGAGGTTCTGCATTCAGAGGTTCTGGAGTCAGAGGTTCTGCATTCAGAGGTTCTGCAATCAGAGGTTCTGCAATCAGAGGTTCTGCAATCAGAGGTTCTGGAGTCAGAGGTTCTCCAATCAGAGGTTCTCCAATCAGAGGTTCTGCATTCAGAGGTTCTGCAATCAGAGGTTCTGCAATCAGAGTTTCTGCATTCAGAGGTTCTGCAATCAGAGGTTCTGCAATCAGAGGTTCTGCATTCAGAGGTTCTGGAGTCAGAGGTTCTGCAATCAGAGGTTCTGCATTCAGAGGTTCTGGAGTCAGAGGTTCTGCAATCAAAGGTTCTGCAATCAGAGGTTCTGCATTCAGAGGTTCTGCATTCAGAGGTTCTGCATTCAGAGGTTCTGCATTCAGAGGTTCTGCATTCAGAGGTTCTGCAGTCAGAGGTTCTGCAATCAGTGGTTCTGGAGTCAGAGGTTCTGCATTCAGAAGTTCTGCAGTCAGAGGTTCTGCAATCAAAGGTTCTGGAGTCAGAGGTTCTGCAATCAGTGGTTCTGGAGTCAGAGGTTCTGCATTCAGAGGTTCTGCATTCAGAAGTTCTGCAGTCAGAGGTTCTGCAATCAGAGGTTCTGGAGTCAGAGGTTCTGCATTCAGAGGTTCTGGAGTCAGAGGTTCTGGAGTCAGAGGTTCTGGAGTCAGAGGTTCTGGAGTCAGAGGTTCTGCAATCAGAGGTTCTGGAGTCAGAGGTTCTGCATTCAGAGGTTCTTCATTCAGGGTTTCTGGAGTCAGAGGTTCTGCATTCAGAGGTTCTGGAGTCAGAGGTTCTGGAGTCAGAGGTTCTGCAATCAGTGGTTCTGGAGTCAGAGGTTCTGCAATCAAAGGTTCTGCAATCAGAGGTTGTGGAGTCAGAGGTTCTGCATTCAGAGGTTCTGCATTCAGAGGTTCTGCATTCAGAGGTTCTGGAGTCAGAGGTTCTGGAGTCAGAGGTTCTGCAATCAGTGGTTCTGGAGTCAGAGGTTCTGCATTCAGAAGTTCTGCAGTCAGAGGTTCTGCAATCAAAGGTTCTGCAATCAGAGGTTCTGGAGTCAGAGGTTCTGCATTCAGAGGTTCTGCAATCAGAGGTTCTGCATTCAGAGGTTCTGCATTCAGAGGTTCTGCATTCAGAGGTTCTGCATTCAGAGGTTCTGCATTCAGAGGTTCTGGAGTCAGAGGTTCTGCATTCAGAGGTTCTGCGTTCAGAGGTTCTGGAGTCATAGGTTCTGTGTTTAAGTGACAGAAGTTTGAAAAAGATCGATTCTCTTGGTGTTTAAAAAACAACACAAACAAGCTTTAAAGGACCTTGTTTATTTTTTTATATATTTTACAATTTTGTAAAAAAAAACAGCTGCTGATTAAACTGGATGTTACAACCTGACATGATTATATGAGCTGTTTTTAGTGAGAAATCCATCAGATGCGCCTCCCAACACAAGGGACACAGAATTTTATAGAACACCGGGACAAAGAACGTCTGGAAGTCAAGTAATCCTGAAGGTTATTAGAAAGTGGTCAGAGAGGACAGGGTTGTGAGGAAATACTGTTATTTCTTCACATTCTATGCCATATGTCAGCACAAGATCCAGAGTATGAAGATGAGAATGTGTGGGACTATTCACATTTTGAACAGAGCCAATAGCGTCTAAGATAGCATTAAAGGCTGCTCTGAAGCTATTGCCTTCAATGTCAGCATGGATGTTAAAATCGGACCAGGCTTTCCCCAAAAAGTTACATCATGCTTGAGCAGCATTCAAAGAAATACTGCGATATCCTCAAAATCGGTTGTCCGTATGATGGTATGAGCTTTAGATACTGCAAAACTGAATGGGTATTTAAAAATAGTTCACAAGAACTTGCCTCTGTTTCTCCAAAGAGATGTTATGGGTGGTAATTCTCCATAGAACATTAACCATACAATAATCATAGTCCCTGGTCTATAGTAATCCTTCATTTCAAGTCCTGTAAAAGTAATTAATACCAGAGCTGTTACATTTACAGAATCATTAATGAAGTAGAATAAATAAAAAGGAACATATCTCATTTTGTACTGGATTTAGAGGCTCCTCCCCATCTAGGCATCGAGTCCCAGTGCTTTAACTCAACTTCTGTTTCCCTTCAGAGATTACTCGCCTCGTCTCGAATATAAGCGCAGTAGCAGCAGGGGCCGAAGTCCAGGACGGAGCAAAAGCCGTCACCGTGGTCAGAGTCGTAGTCCAGATCAGCGCCGTGGGAGGAGCAAGAGCCGAACCCGAGGCAAGAGCCGCAGTCCTGACCGAAGTCGGGCCAAGAGCCGTGGGAGGAGCAAGAGCCGAACCCGAGGCAAGAGCCGCAGTCCCGACCGAAGTCGGGCCAAGAGCCGTGGGAGGAGCAAGAGCCGAACCCGAGGCAAGAGCCGCAGTCCCGACCGAAGTCGGGCCAAGAGCCGTGGGAGGAGCAAGAGCCGACCCCGCAGCAAGTCTAGATCCAGGTCCAGATCAAAATCCCGGAAGAGCAGAGGAAGGAGTCGCAGTCGGCAATATCGCAGCAGTTCGAGTTCCAGTAGCTCAAGCATAGAGAAGACGGATGGAAAAGGTGATGGATTCTTTAAAGAGCTGGAGATGGCACGGCGCAAGAGAGAGGTGGAGGAGCTTTTGGGTCAGCCGACCAAATCCATCCTAAAGAAACACAACAGTTATGAAGCCTCCCCGTCTGTTCGGGTAAGTTGGGCCTGGTACAGGCTAAACCACTAGGGCACCATTTCATCAGAGACTTCAGGGCAGAAGTTTCCAGAATAAACAAAGATTCAGCTACACTTCCTGCTGTAGATGTGTTGGTGATGTATGAAATGGTTTTTCTGTGCCACAGAGCACCGACTCTCCCGGGGATCTGGACCGCACCATGTCCCACGTGGCTGACCAGCTGCTGCAGGCTGTTAAAATGAACGACCCGCTTGCTGTGGCTGCTGTGCTCTCAGAACTGCGGTCTGACCCGGAGATGTCGCAGCGGGCAAACCTCAACAATGAGATCAAAGAAATCCTGAACCTGCTGGGCGTGGCCGAGCCGTTGGGTGACGTTTCAGAGAAAGCTCTAGATGATATCGATGATGAAGAGAAGTTCTTGTACGGAGAATTGGAGGAGCCCAAAATCTTAGAGGCACCAGAACCAGCTCGACACAGCAGTCTTGACCTGTATGGCGACGTGACGGAGGACTCCCTGTACTCCGATCCCCCCTCACAGAGCGCCGTCAGTCAGGTGCACAGCTGCCCTCCAAGCATTTCACCTCATCCTCAGGCCACTCCCACTGCAAGCGAGATTAACAGATACGTAAATCAACCTAGCATAAGCGCTGACCAGAACGTCACGGTTCAGGTGTCGAACCCCTCCTACCCACCAGGAATGGAACCGTTGGACGAGAGTGAGCGCCAGGCTTTGGAGGAGTACGAGAAGATCCAGGACCTGCTGAAAACCATCGGGCTGGACCTGGGTGTGAACGAGATCACCAAGATGGCTGCCAGGACCAAGGAGCGCCTTCATGGGAAAAAGCAGCCTCTGAAGACGCCCACACGGCGACGACGTCACTCTTCCAGCAGTTCCAACCGCAGCGGCCGTAGCCGAAGCCGGAGGCATAGCCAGAGTGAGAGTTCAAGTAGCAGCAGCAGAAGTCGCAGTCGTGGGCGAGGCACCAAACGGGGGGCCAGCTGGAGCAGTGAGGATCATGAGCCCAAGAAAAGCATGGCTCCTAAAACTGCCAACGATTGGGAGGTCAAAGAGGCAAAGAGCGAGTGGAGCACCCCCATGATCCCGCCGACATCTGACCCCGCCCCCATCCCAACTCATACGGGCATGCCCATCCCTACCTACCCTCCCCCACCTCTCTCTGGCATGATGCCCCCTAATTTCCCCCCTCCAGGGTACAGCCAGTATGGAAACTATTTGCCCTACATGCATCAGCAGTGGCCCCCCATGTACCCGCCCCCTAACATGGCCCAACCTCCTCAGACCACCACCGATGAACACCCACCACCTCTAACGTACAACAGCAAACCGAGCCCTGCGGTGGAGTCCAAAGGTGAGAGACCTGCCATAGGTCCGAGTGTTTGCTTTGAGCTGCAGGGAACCGGGTTCCAGTCTATCAACTGTGTGTTTGGTCCCCAGGAGCTGTGAGAGCCGCTTGTCAGGAAGAGCAGCAGCTGCAGCGGGGTCAGGACCAGAACATTTCCGACGAGCAGAACAAGGAGACTGAGAAACTAAAGGTGACTTTGCTGCTCCACACTCATGCATCACTTCCTGAGAGGACTTCTGCTCACCTGATCCTTCGGTCACATGGAACTGCTCCTGCTGACTGTGGGCTTTTGTTCACAGGTTCTAGAAGAGCGGGAGAAGCTGAGGGAAGAACGGGAGGTCCGAATGACGAAGAAAGAGTACCTGATAAAGGAGCTGGAGCGACTCAGGAAGCAGCAGGGTGAGTCTGAGTATTCTGCCTGGTTCTGAAGTCCAAACAGAGTCACCGGCCATGCGTCAAACTGTGTAACCAAAGATTTAGAGCGGGGTCAATATAAGGTCAGCTGAGTCCAGCTGAAGGAATTGTTACTACACTGTTCCCACAGGTGATGTTGGGGATTACATCCCAGTTCACAGTCGGAGCTCCATCTGGACTCTGAAATGTTTTCAATATGTCTCCCATTTTCAGGTGAGCTGCTGAGGAAGAAGCGCCGTGAGAAAGACGGCCATAAGGACCCGCTCCTGCAGGAGATAACCCGCCTACAGGAGGAGGTGATGGCCAAGATATCCAATCTCCGCAAAGAGCACGAGGCTGCTGAGAGGAAACGCAGCGAGATTGAGAAGATCGCGCTCATCCTTGGCTTGAGCCCTTCAGACCGGCCCATCAGGACCAACAAGCAGCCCAGAAACCAAAGGCAGGAGGCGGTGCCTCCCCAAATGGAAAGACTGGAGCGAGAGAGGAGCCGGGAGGAGCAGCCGGCTGCAAGCAGCTCTGTGGTAAAGGTATAACTCTTTACAGCGTGGATTAATGGTCAGAGAGCATAGCTAGGGCCCGCTAATAAGGTTCTGTTAGAACGTTCCGTCTCATTTAGCCAGCTCCTTTAGTGTTAGCATCATCTAAGGTTAAAGGTCAAATCAGACTGTTAGAAACACAGTGTTATTTTATACTTTATTAACAAGCTCTTAAGTCTTAACCCGTTTTTTACCGGAAAGAAGCTCACAATTTTCACAAGTGCTCAAAACATACAGTTTGGGGGGTCAGGCTGGTGTTCACTTTTTAACCGACAAACTTTCAGCTCATATTATTTAATATGCGCGCACATGGAAACCCGGCTTTTAGCTAGGAATATTCCACAGGGTGTTCACCTTGATGTATCACGCCTTCAGGCTTTGCGCTGAGTTGAGGGTTTCAGGGGATCCTCAAAGATTCAAAGGTGGAATGCAGCTAACGGTCTGTCTTTGTTCCAACACGACTTTAGTCCTGATTATGGGAAGTATGTGAGTTTACTAGAGGTGGACATGAGATCATTTTAGGCGACAATATTATGTTTCATAGGTTAATTCAAACAATCAGAAAGTCTGATGCTTTGTTCAGACCGAACGCCATCAGAGAAGCTCCTGCTGCTTCATCTCTGATCCACATTAAGGTCAGGCGTCCAGTAAAGTGAGTCCAGATGCTTCTGCTGCTCCTGTGTTCAATGTCAGAGTGCATTGAGGCCCTGGCCGCCGCAGACGGGCTAGCGTTAGCCCTGGCCGCCGCAGACGGGCTAGCGTCAGCCCTGGCCGCCGCAGACGGGCTAGCGTTAGCCACTGATGCTGCAAACGGGCTAACGTTAGCCACTTGTTTAAATGTTGAAAACTGGGAACGACCTCAGACTGGGTCATTGCTTCAAGTCTTAGTTTATTACCTAAAGTCTTAACTAGTTGGTGAACTTGCCTCTTAAAGGTATAGTGGAGGATTTTTGAAAAAAAATGCACATGCATAACCCTGTACCCGCTCCTGAGAGGGATCGCTACGTGCAAGAGTGTGCACGAGCCCATTTCTCCTCGTGCACGAGCCCATTTCTCCTCGTGCACACTCTAGTTAAAAGTTGCTGTTTGCATCACTCATACAAGCTAACTTTCCAAAAGGAAGATTAGCAATTTCTCCACTATGTCAGACTCACCACTGGTAAGAGAAAATGGAGACGAGCACGAAGGACGGCCTTACGCAAAAATATCATCAGAATGATTGACAGCTAAGAGGACCACTGATTGAGATGATCCACCTGGAAAAACAACACCCTCCACTGTACCTTTAAGCGGATGTTTTGCACACACCTTAAAGAGCTCCTAACCTGACGGCTTTGAAAAGCTCGTTACAGGAAGTCTTTACCAGCCTGATGTTTATTTTCACCAACTCATTTCCTACGCTATTGTTAGCTTCTCACCCAGTTCCTTCAAAAGCACATTATTGACTTCCTAACTAGTTCTTTTCCTGAGTTTTAACCAGTTTATCACCTGACATGTGAATTTCCTTCATGGTCTAACATTTTAACGAGCTTCTTGTCCAACAGATGTCTTGAATAGTTAATTGTGTGAAGTCGTAACAAACTCATTACTTGATGGTTTAACCTTATGTCCATGATGTCTTAGCTAGCTCCTTACCTCATGCATTTTAAACGGCTCAATACCTGACAATTTTCAGACGTTCGTAGCCTAACGTATTTACTATATTTTGCATGAATCGATTAATAATCTAATAGATTTTTTATGAAATTAAACCAGGTGAAACTAAAACTTTTCCCCTTGAGGAGTTCTGGATAGAGCTTACCGACAGGCAAGAATTGTTTTGATCTTAAATGCAAATTTTCTTATTTATTTATTTTTTTTACAATTTCTATATAATTCCTGCTCTAAGCAGGTCACCCTGTCAGCTAAAAACATATTTTACAGACTCTATAGTCCATCTAATGATTAATCGTTTATTAAATTGGTTGACGATTATCCGATAATTGATTTATCACAATGAATCTGATTAATTGTTTCAGCCCTAAATAAGATGTCTTAAGGGCGATTTGAACCGGTCGTGTTAATTTTGAGATTACTTGTTCATTTTTATCTTAATATGTCTTCACTGCGGGAAGAATTAGGATTTAGTTTATACTTCAGGAACTGCGTTAATTTAGCGAGGATTTGTTTTAATTGCAGGACGACATCGTTTTCTTATTTCACCTTCCTTCTGCGATCTGACGGCTCTATGATTGGCCCGGTGTTTTATCCTATCATTATGGAACTCGCATTGATTTTGCCTCTATTTTAGTCGTTGTTACGTCTCGTTTATCTTCGCTGCCGGACGCCCGTTGATTTTGTCGTCTTTGCGTGATGATGGTGATTCTATTTTTGAGTCTGTTGGTCCGGGGCCCTGCAGGTAAGGAAAGGTAAGTCTGCTGTTTATTACTCTTTTTGAAGCTGGTCCTGTTTCCTGTCCTGACTTTCTCTGTCTCCTCCCACTGTCCTGACTTTCCTCCATCTTTTCTTTCTTAGCCAATTCCAGTGGTTTCGCCAAAGGCCTTCCAGGAAAAGCTGCCCTCCAGCGCTGCTACTCCGGCTCCGCCCCCCGACCCGTTTGAATACTACGATGCTGGAAACCATTGGTGTAAAAGCTGTAACATCACCTCTGGTTCCATGTTTGACTTTTTCACTCACTTGCACGGCAAAGGGCACCGGAAGGTTTGTTTGTTAAGACAGTTTGACGCCAGCTTTCCCAGTTCAGCGCTGCTTATTTGATCCCATGTTTGTTTGATACCATCATTGTCCATCTCACAGACTCTGAATCCGTACGACCGGCCCTGGGCCTCCAGCAACACCAACACCTCTAAGAGCAGCACAGGAGAGGTCAAGCAGACCAAACCGGCCAAAGGTACTGTTACCATGACGTTGCAACAATTACAGCCACCATAGATGCTGATGATGAGGATGTGGTCTCTGAACCACTGAATTTTGTTAGCTATCTTCTACTTCCAGGTGGAACTCAGAGCGGACCTTTGTGTTGGAGAAGAAGCTTCTGCTTACAACTTCTGATGACTTTAACTTTGTTTTTCCATCAGTTAATCCTCAGATAACTGCCCAGCATTTTCTCTATAATCACCTGGAAGAAAATATATTCTCTCTGACTCTCTCTTCTTCTGACAGGTTCTGATTAGCCTGGAGATGTCTGCCAGGTAAACAGGTTTGGCAGCTTTTTAGTCACCTTCCAGGGGTTTAAACCATGCCACATTTGTGTTTGTCTGCAGGTTCAGAGTTCCTGGTTCCGGTCAGAGGGTTCTTCTGCATGCTGTGTAAGGAGTTTTGTGGAGACGCCATCTGTGCAGAGCAGCATGTGATCACATACAGTCATAATGAGAAATACAAGGTATGTGTTAAAATAAGGCCTGATCTGTCCTCTGGTGTTCTGCCTGGATCCTTTGGCACCCAGTAGAACATTTATAGGCTATCAGAACCTTTATCACCTTTTAGAACATTTATCAGCTGTCTAGCCCCTCCCTCAACAATGAAAACTCACGCTTGTTTAATGTCTCATTATTGTTACAAGAACAAGATTTGTCCAGTTAATGTTTTCATCATTGTTATAGTTGACAAAACCAACGCTGGCTAGAGAGCTGCTGTTTAAACCCAGTCTGCAAGGTTACTGTTTAGAAAGTCTGGCCATCACTTTGGATCCTCAAACAGGAAATTTTATCTCACAAGGTTCACACTCAGTGTGGCAGCACTGCCCCAATGGATAAGTCTTATGTAGAGAAAGCATTTCGCCAGTGTGGAAAGAGATGTTTCCTTTCCTCTTACCTTCAACTGATTGCTTAAATAATTAAAACACATTCTTGTAAGACCCTAAATTCATGTGGATTTTTGTGTTTTTGTTGTTTCCTTCGCCAGGAACAAATGATGGAGAATCCCCTGTATGAACAGAGGAGGAACCTGGACAGACAGGCGGGCCTGGGTCTGGAGGCGGCTGGAAAGAAACGCAAACATGATGTTGATGATAGAGGCAGCAAAGACGGAGAGGAAAATACTAAAACCAAAAAGGATAAAAAGGACAAAAAGAATGAAGGAGAGGCTGCTGAAAAGTGTGATGTAAAGATTAAAGTGAAAAAAGAGGAAGGGGAGCATAGTGAAAAGCCGAGCAAAAAGAGCCTGGAGGAAGACAAGCCTTTTTCTAGCAAAAAAGATGAGAATGAAAGCTATAAATATAGCAAAAAGGATGAGAAGTACCGCCACAGCCGCGAGGTGGAGGACAGAAACAGCCGGTACAGAAGCGGCGGTCGAGATGAAGAGTATCGCTATCATTATTGCAGGGAGGATGAAAAACGATACGACGATCGTACTAATTCCGGCACTAAAGACGTTGGGGACAAATTCAAGCATGATAAATTTTCTGATACCAGATCTAAATATGACCGAGAGCGAGATGAAGGAAAGTCTAAAGCTGAAAGGGAATCTGCCAAATCCCTCGGGAAACCAAATGTCAGAAAGTCTGAACCACAATCAAAACCCCATGAGCTGCCCAAAATCTTCTGTGGACCCAGTCCTGCCATGAGGGCAAAGCTCCGCAAGCAGGCTTTGGAAGCAGGCAAAGTTCAGCCCGCCACAGGCCCTTCAATTGGGAAGTTCACATGGACGAAGAAAGAGAGCCAGCTTGCGAAGGAAGCTCGGCAAGTTGCAGCAGAGTTCATCAAGGATGAGGAAATGGCTGCAAAGGAGCAGCAAGGTGAAGATGAAGATTCTCTATCAAAGTCGATAGCTATTGCAAAAGAGATTGCTGAGAAGCTGGCAGGTGAGCCACTAAAGCACCCACCTTTCTACCAGCCTGGTCAAGGACAAATCCGGCCAAACCTTCGTGCACCTGTTGCACAGCAAAGGAAAGCTGCCTTGGCAGGAAAACCTGCGTCACTTAATACATTCCTAAACATGAGACCCCAGGGCTCAGATGGAAGTTCTCCAGGGTCTATTCCTAGGGCCCCATTAGGGCCACCAAATACACAGATGGTCCAAAGCATACCTGGACCTCCTGTCAACATATCCGGACCATGTGACCCAATACCTACACCAGTAGTGACAAAACCAGAGCCATTTGGCCCTAAACTCCCTCCTTCAGTGTCAAAACCGGAACCATGTCAAGATACTTCAGCAGGTTCTAAATCTGATTTAGCTGACCCAAGACCTGCACCTTCTAAAGCTAAACAAGTATTTCTCAAACCTTCTCCGCTACAGTCGCCACCTACTCCAGTTCCGAGTAAACCTTCAACAATTTTTCCTTTCCCATTAAGAAAAGAATCATCAGAAACTAAAGCTCTTCCATCAGAAGTTAAAGCTTCAGTTTCTCAGGCTCCTAAACTACCACTCACTTCACCAAAAGCCGCACCTTCACAACCACCAATGATGATCGTGTCTGACGTGGCAGCTCCTGGTGTCCCAGAAAGTGAACAGACTTGCAATGTGTTTGTCAAGCCGCCTCCTTTCAAGAAGCTGCCAGAGGTATCTCGGAAGTCAGAAAAATTCAAGAACAACCTTGCTGCTGCCAGGGCAGAGGACTTAATTGATATGTTTTATCGTAGCATTGGTGAGCCAGGCCCTTCCTCTTTTTCCAAGTCAGAAACTGACATCAAAGCTGGTAGAAGCTCTTCTTCAGCCCCTCAAAATAAGAACCAACAACAGCCACAAGATAAGCCCCCGCCTCAGATTGAATCACCAAATAAAGCCCAAACTCAGTCCCAAAACCAGCCACAGCTCCAAGGGCAGCTTGGATCGAAAATACAGACAGAACAAATTCCATGCGATAAAACTGAAGCTCAATCCCAAACCCAACTGCAATCCCAAGGTAAAACCCAACCCTTGACCCCATTGCAACCAAAAATTCAACCGCAGACACACTCGCTACCCCAAGATACTCCCGAATCTCAACCCACAAAGCAACAACTTCAGACTGATAATAAACCACAAATTCAGCTGCAAGCCCAAGATAAATCAGAACTCAAACCCCAGGATAAAACTCAATCACAAACCCAGTTGCAAATCCAAGGGACAGAACTGCAACCCCAAGATAAGCCTGAATTCCAAACCCAGGGGCAACTACAAAAGCTGAATAAACCAGACTCTCACATCCCCACACAGCTACAACCCCAAGATAAACCTGACTCCCAAAGCCAGAAACAACAACAAACACCGGAAAAACCAGACTCTGACATCCCCACACAGCTACAACCCCAAGATAAACCCGATTCCCAAAGCCAGAAACAACAACAAACACCGGAAAAACCAGACTCTGACATCCCCACACAGCTACAACCCCAAGTTAAACCCGACTCCCAAAGCCAGAAACAACAACAAACACCGGAAAAACCAGCCTCTGACATCCCCACACAGCTACAACCCCAAGATAAACCCGACTCCCAAAGCCAGAAACAACAACAAACACCGGAAAAACCAGACTCTGACATCCCCACACAGCTACAACCCCAAAATAAACCCGACTCCCAAAGCCAGAAAGAAACACAAACCCTGGATAAACCCGACTCCCAATCCCAGAAACGACAACAAACCCTGGAAAAACCAGACTCTGACATCCCCACACAGCTACAACCCCAAGATAAACCCGACTCCCAAAGCCAGAAAGAACAACAAACACCGGGAAAACCAGACTCTGACATCCCCACACAGCTAAAACCCCAAAATAAACCCGACTCCCAAAGCCAGAAAAAAATACAAACCCTGGATAAACCCGACTCCCAATCCCAGAAACGACAACAAACCCTGGAAAAACCAGACTCTGACATCCCCACACAGCTACAACCCCAAGATAAACCCGACTCCCAAACCCAGAAAAAAACACAAACCCTGGATAAACCAGAATCTGACATCCCCACAGAGCTACAACACCAGGATAAACCCGACTCCCAAAGCCAGAAACAACAACAAACAAAACCCGACTCCCAAACCCAGAAAAAACCCGACTCCCAAAGCCAGAAACAACAACAAACCCTGGAAAAACCAGACTCTCACATCCCCACACAGCTACAACCCCAAGATAAACCCAATTCCCAACCCCTGAAACTGCTACAAGCTAAGGATAAAACTAAAGTCCAGCAGCAGCCACACCAGGAAAATCCCCAAATTGCAAATGAACCCTCAGATAAACATCTGGACCAATCAACACATCAAACAGAGCTCCAACAGCAGTCTCGATCTGTCCCTGACGCTCAACCTATATTTACAATCCCACCACAGACCGAGTCCCATCAAAGCTTACAAAGCCCACCAAACCAAACTGATGCTGACATTCAGATCACATCCGTTTGGTCTCTTCAATCTCCCTCAGTTCTATCACCCAAGGCTGATTGTCCTGATGCATCCTTTCCCATGTTTCAATTCGAGCAGACTACCGAGGTATTGTCTCAAAGAGAGTCCACTGATTCTGGGCCTGAATCACTAATCCCCCCACAAACTAGTCCTTCCACAATGGAACCAATTGTTCAAGCCTTGTCCAAACCAACTCCTCATATCAACGAGGCGCCTCAGTCCGAATCCCATGCAGACCTGGATGGAAATTCACATCAAGAGAAGACTCCACAACCCCAGCCTAAACCCAAACCTGGTCCAAGAACCAGAGGCAAGGGAGCACAAATGAAGAAGACCCCTCCTGCCAATGCACCTGTTCGTCAGACTCGCTCCCAAACAAGATACCAGACCCGCCAGCAGCAGCAGCAAAGTGATTCAGAACCCAAACAGGAACCAGCTGCAGTGGACCAAGGCATGTTGGATTTAGACGCTGAAGGTCTGGCATGTTTTGATCCACAGCAGGAGGCCGACACGGTTAAAGAGACTGATCCTACAGAGACACGGGTCACCCCAGAATCGCTGGGTCTCCCTTCAGATATGACGTCCCTTGACTTTGACTACACTTTTAACTTTGAATAAGTGTTAGGGCGGTTTGGAGCGACACAAAGATCTGGGTCTGGTTTATGTACAGGATAAACTGTTGATAAGTTTATTTAGGGGGTACTGAACCCCTGTGCTGTTTTAAAGACCAGAATAATGTAAATAAATTTGCTCACATTGCCTTTCTGAAGGACGGTGGGTTTAAAGGCACGTCATTATTGTCCCCCAAAAAGCCCTCGCTGATACCTGCTACCATTTTGGATCCAACTTGTCTGACTCGTTGGAGATCTAAAAGCTGTAGATCTATTTATGACTCCTGTTTTCCACCAAGAGCAAATGTTTATTTCCTACAGGTCTTTATTCTGCTCGCTGTAGCTTCCTGCTCTGTGGACTTAAATGATTTTCATTGTTGGATCTTTAAACCAAGACCAGCGGCTCCTCTGTTTGTGCTTGTAACATATTTTAGCTGTAATGTTTGTTTCTTTCTGCAGAGTTTTAATAAAGGTTGGCAGAGAATTTTCTGAAGGGTTTCTTGTCTTTTTTGAACCAGTAAAATGGAAATTCTTAAAGCAGCTGAGGCAACAGGATGGTCCATATGTAAAGACCTGAACTGAAGCAGCTCCAGTATCTTGGTGAAAAGGTGGAGAAGAAGAATAAAGTCTTGATATATTCTATGTAGTGAACCCCCAGGGGCTTCCCTATATGTTTTGCTAGGAGATCTCCGATTGAGATCCAGGTTTATCTGGAGGGACTTTGGGAAAAGCCCTTCTAATATCCCCAAGTGAGCCTGGAGAAGGATTTTCCCACTGCGACCATCAGGGGCATGAAGGGCTGATGTTGCTTAAAGCTCGAACATCCTGCACAGACAAAAAGCCGCCCCTCACCGCTTCTGCAGTATTTATACTCTGCAGCTTTCATCAGTCTGGTTGGCTCTGAGTCAAGGGGGGACACAGGCAGCCAGGTGACAACACCACACCACACTACACGAGGAAGAAGAAAACAGCCATTTACAAGTTTGTCAAAGCCTCTTCATGCAGTTTGGGAGAGACAGTCATTTCTTTTCTGGACTTTTTCCACAGCTAATTCATAGGATATCTTTAGACGTTTACATCCTGAAACCTTTACAGCTGGAGCTGCTTCTGGCTCGCAACGTTTTCCATACAAATCTGCCCGGAGGGGCATGGAAGCCCAAAAGGACGTAATTTGGCCGCCAAGATGTGTAAAACCAAGCTTTGGAAGATGGATGGCTGTAGAAGTAGGTGTGTTCAGTTTGCTGCTGGATTGATAAGAGCAGGTCTGTGGTGCGGTGGATGGTTCAACACCAAACGCTGACTGATTACATAGAGCACTTTTATGCTCTTATTAAACAGCCTTTTCAAGTTTCAGAAGCTGTCCACCTGTTGCTCTGCCTGCTGAAGTTCTCTGATAATCTAGATCTAGGCCGAACCACAAGCTACAATTGAATCACAGCATCTCTTTCATGTTGACTTTGAAGTCCAAGGCTGTTGAAATGATTGATCGTTTCATTTTCTGACCTCTGGGTTAATTTTAATTCATTTAAATTTGTGTGACACTGGCATCGGATGCTGGAGTTTGCCCTGCAACGGTGGGGTTTTCTGTTCAAGGTGGCTCTGGCTTTCAGAGTTGCGTACGGCAACCTCGCTTCTGACACTGAGACCCAGGGCAGCTGTGGCCACATTGTAGATCGCCACCATCAGTGTGTGTAGGAATGTAATGTAAAGCGTTTTGGTCAAGTCTCCTGACTGGACCAAAAACCCTTTGCCTTTAAGGGCCAAACACGTGATGACCCCTTCTAAATCCCAGATCAAAAAGGTTTCTAGAATTTCCTTCTTTGATCTGAGGAATATTGCAAAAATGAGCAATCTCCTGAGGTGTGGTCATCTAGCAGAGCTGCCCTCTGGTACCTTTATGGACTGGGTTTCTAGGAGCCGCCAAGGACCAGAGGGTGTCTGGTCCTGCTTTTTGCTGATGACGTTTGCTGTGGTTCTGATAGGATGAGGAGCTGAGTCATCAGGGAGAGGATCAGAGTAGAGCTGCTTCTCCTCCAGAGGAGTCAGCTGAGGAGGAGCAGGACACCATAGAGGGACCATGTCTCTCTGCTGGCCTGAAGTGCTTCAGCTTTATGGGGAGACTGAAGTCTGGCTGCTCCTGCCACCTGGTTCTGGATACAGAGGAAGACCACGAGAACACGGTGTGTGTGAATAGATTAGTGATGCTTAACGGATGTTTAACTGAAATATTTTTCTGCTATCATGTTTTCAAAACTATGATTAAAAAAATATATATAGTGATATATATTATGAGATGATTAGTTGCTCATGTTAACTTATGGAGGAATGAATGTAATAAAGTCTAAAACCTTCTTCTTCACTGGCCCTAATTTTAGTGAATAGAGCAAATCATGCTTAAAGAAAAAATATAAGCTCTATTTTCCCATATAAAAAGGTTTTATATTCTCATCAACTTATTTCACTGATTCTTTGTTGTATGTTGACGCAGGGGAGGATTTACCATCAGGCAATACTAGGCTGCTGCTTAGGGCCCCAAGTTCCTGGGGGCCCCATAAAACTTTATTTCTATGTATGGTTAATACAACTATTCCTTATTTCTGCACATTATCTTTTTGATAAAAAATCCTTTGGCTAAAATGCCATCAGAACGCTGATAATATTAAGTGTGTCTCAGCCCCCCCCTTCAGTGTCCACCATATTGGATCAGTCCATTTGCTGCACATGTTCAGAAAGGTCCAAACAGACAGCAGCAAACCATTTGAAAACAAACCATGCAAAGAGCAGTGTTGCCAACTTAGCACTTTAGTCGCTATATTTAGCCACTTTTCAGACCCCTCTAGCACTTTGATTTCTAAAAAGCTCCTAGCGCCAAATCTAGAGACTTTTTTCTGCTACTGGAGACTTTGGAGACAACATCTAAAAGCAGCGAACTCTGCTCTCCAGAGCGAGTAGATTGGTAACCCCGCCTCCTGCTATCCTCTATCTTGTCTGCTGTCATGATTCATGCAGCTATTATTTCATCCAAATGAAAAATGGAGAACAGATAAGCAGATCATGGCTTGTCTACAGTGAAAAGAAGGACTGGGTTATTTACTTTGGCCTTTTTGGAAACACAGGAAGGAGCAATCAGCTAAGTGAGCTTAGTGACTGGAAAAAAATCTTTCATTCCTTTAGAGACAGCATGAAAAGTCAGCTGAGTACAAAACATAGAGAGGAAAACAAGAAGAAAAGGGACAAGAAGAGAGGGACACAACCTAGAACAGATAATGGATGTCTATTCTATTAACATTTCTCTATCTGTGGAATGGGGCTGTTTGATGTGCTCTCAGTTCAGAGGGCTCCCTGCCTGTCTTTGCCTGGGGCCCCAAATTTCCTAAATCAGCCCCTGTGTTGGCGATAAGGTAAAAAAACAACCATAAAGTTATATGTTTAGATTTGACGTATGAGCAGAAGATGCTCATAAATCTTCCTGCATCCAGGCTGCTTTCATTATATTTACTGATCAAACCTCCAGGTAGTAAAGCTGGTTGAACTGATTTAGATCTATGAGGTCAGTCCACTTTATCTCATTATGTAATATGCTTTTATATTTCATCTCTCCTTTTTACAACTTTTAAATTAACTTGCTTTATTGTTGCTTTTTAAACATGTCTTTGTATTTTATTATTTAGCATTAAATGATGTGTTGGAACATAAACATCTGTTTCCTGCAGATAATCTTTGTTGGATCATTTTATCTATATTCTGTTCAGACTGTTCTGTGGTTCGGAGCCACCAGAACCAGAACCAGACCATAAACCCTGTGGTTCTGGTTCGGTTTTCTCCGTGTTGCTGGGGAAGAGCCCAGACCTGCATCACCTCCCTACAGCCTCGCCCTCCATGTTAAACTCGCTCTAATCCAATGGGAAAAATCCCTGCACGCGTTGCTAGGTAGACTTCCGCACCGGCAGCCAATGAGATCGGCCGCGTTGAGGAGCGGGCGCAGGAGCTGGAACTGACCGAGTGACAGCATCTGATTCCCGGGGAGGAGGAACTCTGGGTCTCCGTGGGAAAATCAGCGGACAAGATGCCGAACAAACCCAAGAAGGAGAAGGTGAGCGTGGGGCGGCGGGGGTGTAACGCGGAGCCTGTCCACGCAGAACACGCAGAAGCGTGGAGGACAGTTCAGATGCTAAACGATAAAGGCCCGTTAGCATCACACCGCCCTGAAGTTAGCTTCTGATTGAATGAGGATAAAAACTGAGGATTTAAAACAAATTAAACATTTATAAAATCTTTATAATGATCTCAGAGAAATAATTATTCCATCATTTCAACCTTTTTATTCTTCATCAGCAGTAGGAGGGGCTATTCAGTAAAGTTTCCATATATAATCAAACAGTGTTTCTTTGGTTTTAAGCTGTAATTTTTCGCGCTTTCTTTGGACTTTAAGAAAGATTCTGTTTAATGAAGGTCTGTTGATTATTTTAACTTTAAAAAAGATAAAATAAGGAAATAAAAGAGTAAACAGCGACAGTTTTGGCTGCTTTACAGCCCCGAGAATCAGAAGCTAACTTCAGCAGAGTTAACGGTCTCTACAGACCAGCAGAACCAGCAGGAACCGCTCAGCCCAGTTCTGTGGGTTCACTGGGATCCGGCCTGGAACCAGAGTGGACCTGCTGGTTCTGACGGGTCCACAACTCCTGCTCCATCAGCTGCTTTCCTGACAGGCTGGTTCTGAGTGATGATGGGAGGCAGAGCAGCAGTGACGTCAGCAGGATGTTCTCCTGCAGTGGGTCGGTCCTTCCAGGAGCCTCACTGCTGCTTCTGGGGAGAAAGATTGTTCCTGTGGGTCGAACTGGACCGCTCCGCAGGAGGTCCAAACCTGACCGGTTCTGATGTTAGGAGAACATCAGGCTTCTCCACTGAGCAGAGAAGCTTCTGGATGAAGGTCCTACCCAGAGGCTCCATGAGGTTCTTTCGCTGGAGATGGATGATGGTTCCTGAATCACGTGACGGATCAGAGCTCTGATTCTGTCACAGTGGAACCGCTTCACCTGCTCTTATTTTGAAAAGTTGTTCCACAGGAAGTGGAGCTACTGTAGCCTAAAATAAAGGGAATCATGAGGAGGACTGATGTCTGATAACATCTGAGATGTTGCAGTTCTGGTTCTGATCCAGATTCCTTTCAAACAGACTAAAGGCGTCATTTTTATTCTGGTTCTTTTGTAGGAATCCAGCAAATTTTCCAAAAGCAGCACGAAGAACAGCAGCGGCAGCGGGAAGGATGCTGCGCCAGAGAGCTCCGAGGAGGTAGGTACCACCAGAACACCACCGGTTCTGATCTCATCTCCACAGGTTCTGATCAGTTCTTCAGCCTGAAATTAGTGGGTTTTTCAAACCCGGGTCAATCCGCTAGCAGTCGCCATTTGGATTACGCTGATGATGAGGTCTGCTCCTTAATCTCAATGGTAGCGAGGAAGGTCTGATGTCCATTTCAGCTGAGTTAGAGTTGCCATGGTTACCTGATTTGTTTAGAGGTCAAGGAGAGAACTAAAGACCTGGAACCAGACCTGGCCAGGAACTGATGTAGAACTAGAACCACTGCTGGTTGTAGTTCTACATGTTCATACATACATGCTCCACATGTTCCTACATAGATGTTCCAGTTGTTAGTTCAGATGTTCCCTCATGCTTGTTCCTGACATCGGTTCATAGCTAGAAGTTGCTGCTGAAGCGAATTCTGCTGCCCCACCAGGTTCCTGACAGTGTTAATTTTGTTGACGAAGACTATGACGAAAAATACTCGTCAACGAACCTTTTTCACGGACTTAGACTAAATAAAAAGTGAGATATGACGACTAAGACTATTACGAAAATAACTGACACTTTAGTCTAAACGAGACTAAACTATGAGGGAGGGACAAATTGTGATCCTATCAGAATTACTTTTTTTGTGGGACAAGTTGGGAAGAAATCCAATCAAAAGTTAGTTGCCAACCGCCATAGAAAGAAATCCAGGTGGCGGTAATGCGCCATAAAGCTGTGCTAAGAAAGAGAAGAAGAAGAAGAGAGCGTGTATGGTTGAAGCATAGAAGCAGCGTTTTCGTAGCAGTAGTAGCCTTTCAAAAATCAAATGAATAATAGAGATGTTACAACAGCTAGGGCGAAAAAGAAGAGTTGATATCTGGACACACTTCACATATTACACTAAGGACAACAAGACAGCCTGCAAACCGTGTGGAGCCAAAATATCCGGAAAAAACACCACCAACTTGAAACGGCATTTGCAGATGACTCATCCAGAGATACATGCGAAGGGAAGCATACACGCTAAGCATACAAGGTTATTTTTTATTTGATTAACCGCCGTGTTTGCGCTAAACTTTCAGGGAGCAAAGCCACAGTTAATCTTTTTGAAATTCAAAATAAAATACATGTTTTGCATCTGTAACTGTTCAATCTGTGTCTAAATCTAGATAGATACTTTATTGATCCCCAAGGGGAAATTCAAATCTAATTCAAATCTAGACTGAGACTAAACTAAGACTAAAAGACTTAAGACTAGACTAAGACTAAAACTCTTTTGACATTTAGTCGACAAAAACTAGACTAAGACTAAAAGATTTGAGATGACTAAAATATGACTAAAACTAAATGGTGTGTTATTCAGAAGACTAAGACTAAATCAGAATTTGCTGTCAAAATTAACACTAGTTTCTGAGAACACGCATCATTTCTGGAGTTTCTCACTATCCAGTCCGTGTCTGCAGGTCCAGCAGCAGAGCGGCAGCAAGCGGCCCAGCAGCAGCACACCTCCCCCCACCCAGCTCAACAAGATCAAGTACTCTGGAGGTCCTCAGCTGGTGAAGAAGGAGCGCCGCCAGAGCTCATCACGCTTCAGCCTGACCAGGAACAGAGAGCTGCAAAAACTACCTGCTCTCAAAGGTAAATAAACCCTTTAGAACCTAAACCTGAGCTAAACTGACCCTGCAGAACTTAAACCTGAGCTAAACTGACCCTGCAGAACCTAAACCCGAGCTAAACTGACCCTGTAGAACCTAAACCCGAGCTAAACTGACCCTGCAGAACCTAAACCCGAGCTAAACTGACCCTGTAGAACCTAAACCCGAGCTAAACTGACCCTGTAGAACCTAAACCCGAGCCAAACTGACCCTGCGGAACCTAAACCCGCGCCAACCTGACCCTGCAAAACCTAAACCCGAGCTAAACTGACCCTGTAGAACCTAAACCCGAGCTAAACTGACCCTGCAGAACCTAAACCCGAGCTAAACTGACCCTGCAGAACCTAAACCCGAGCTAAACTGACCCTGCAGAACCTAAACCTGAGCTAAACTGACCCTGCGGAACCTAAACCTGAGCTAAACTGACCCTGTGGAATCAAACCTGAGCTAAAGTGACCCTGCTTAACCTAAACCTGAGCTAAACCTGAGCTACACTGACCCTGCAGAACCTAAACCTGAGCTAAACTGACCCTGTAGAACCTAAACCCGAGCTAAACTGACCCTGTAGAACCTAAACCTGAGCTAAAGTGACCCTGCTTAACCTAAACCTGAGCTAAACCTGAGCTAAACTGACCCTGCAGAAGCTAAACCTGAGCTAAACTGACCCTGCAGAACCTAAACCTGAGCTAAACTGACCCTGTAGAACTTAAACCTGAGCTAAACTGACCCTGCGGAACCTAAACCTGAGCTAAGCTGACCCTGTGGAATCAAACCTGAGCTAAAGTGACCCTGCTTAACCTAAACCTGAGCTAAACCTGAGCTACACTGACCCTGCAGAACCTAAACCTGAGATAAACTGACCCTGCAGAACCTAAACCTGAGCTAAACTGACCCTGTAGAACCTAAACCCGAGCTAAACTGACCCTGTAGAACCTAAACCTGAGCTAAAGTGACCCTGCTTAACCTAAACCTGAGCTAAACCTGAGCTAAACTGACCCTGCAGAAGCTAAACCTGAGCTAAACTGACCCTGCAGAACCTAAACCTGAGCTAAACTGACCCTGTAGAACCTAAACCTGAGCTAAGCTGACCCTGTGGAATCAAACCTGAGCTAAAGTGACCCTGCTTAACCTAAACCTGAGCTACAGTGACACTGCAGAACCTAAACCTGAGATAAACTGACCCTGCAGAACCTAAACCCGAGCTAAACTGACCCTGTAGAAGCTAAACCTGAGCTAAACTGACCCTGTAGAACCTAAACCCGAGCTAAACTGACCCTGCGGAACCTAAACCCGAGCTAAACTGACCCTGCAGAACCTAAACCCGAGCTAAACTGACCCTGTAGAAGCTAAACCTGAGCTAAACTGACCCTGTAGAACCTAAACCCGAGCTAAACTGACCCTGCGGAACCTAAACCCGAGCTAAACTGACCCTGCGGAACCTAAACCCGAGCCAACCTGACCCTGCGGAACCTAAACCCGAGCCAACCTGAACCTGCGGAACCTAAACCCGCGCCAAACTGACCCTGCGGAACCTAAACCCACGCCAACCTGACCCTGCGGAACCTAAACCCACGCCAACCTGACCCTGCGGAACCTAAACCCGCGCCAACCTGACCCTGCGGAACCTAAACCCGAGCTAAACTGACCCTGCAGAAGCTAAACCCGAGCTAAACTGACCCTGCGGAACCTAGACCCGCGCCAACCTGACCCGGCCGAACCTAAACCCGCTCCAACCTGACCCTGTGGAACCTAAACCCGAGCTAAACTGACCCTGTGGAACCTAAACCCGAGCTAAACTGACCCTGTGGAACCTAAACCCGCGCCAACCTGACCCTGTGGAACCTAAACCCGAGCTAAACTGACCCTGTGGAACCTAAACCCGAGCTAAACTGACCCTGTGGAACCTAAATCCGAGCTAAACTGACCCTGCGGAACCTAAACCTGAGCTAAACTGAACCTACTGAACCCAGTCCAGCTGCGTAGCATCATGGCGGCCTGAAGTAGGCCTCTAACTGAACCTTCCTGTGCTCCGCCTCAGATGCCCCGCCCCTGGAGCGCGAGGAGCTGTTTGTCCAGAAGCTGCGTCAGTGCTGCGTCCTGTTCGACTTCATTGCCGACCCGCTCAGCGACCTCAAGTACAAGGAGGTGAAGAGGGCGGGGCTTAACGAGATGGTGGAGTACATCACACACAACAGTGAGGTGGTGACGGAGTGCATCTACCCAGAGGCCGTCGTCATGGTGAGAGGTTCTACATTCTGAATTAGGGGCTCTATGGCCGATGGGGTGTCAGTAATAGGTTAGGCAGAAGCTCAGAGATCGACCTTTGACCTCTGGTCCAGGCCGCTGAGCGTCTCCTCAGCTGATGGCCTCAGAGCTTTATCTCCTCTGGAATCAGAGGATCCATCCTCTGCTTAGATCCACTTTGTGTCGCTGCAGTTCTCCATAAACGTGTTCCGGACTCTTCCTCCATCCTCCAACCCCACCGGAGCAGAATTCGACCCTGAGGAGGACGAGCCCACGCTGGAGGCCGCCTGGCCTCACCTGCAGGTACGTAGGAAGGTTCCCAGGAGGCCGCCTGGCCTCACCTGCTGTACGTAGGAAGGTTCCCTGCAGGTGAACCGATCCTCCTGATAGAACCCTGATCCCGGCCGTCTCTTCAAAGCTGGTGTACGAGTTCTTCCTTCGCTTCCTGGAGTCTCCAGACTTCCAACCCAATGTTGCCAAGAAATACATCGACCAGAAGTTTGTGCTGTCGGTAAGACGCCACACGACAGAGAGTCCAGGTGAGTCCAGGTGAGACGCTGACCATCTGATGCCTGCCTTCCAGCTGCTGGAGCTGTTCGACAGCGAGGACCCCAGAGAGAGGGACTTCCTGAAGACCATCCTCCACCGCATCTACGGGAAGTTTCTGGGCCTGCGGGCCTATATCCGCCGGCAGATCAACAACATCTTCTACAGGTGAGGAACGCCCTGCAGGTGAGCCCGCTGCTCCCACTTCCTGTGTCTGACCACTGTGCTCATTCTGCAGGTTTATATATGAGACGGAGCATCACAACGGCATCGCTGAGCTGCTGGAGATCCTCGGCAGGTACCTGCTCTGATCACATGACTACCACACCAGCTGATTGGAATGCGGCCACACTGACACTGTGTATCTGATTGGAACGCGGCCGCACTGAAGCCGTGTCTCTGATTGGAACGCGGCCGGTGTGACGTCTCCCTGATTGGGACGCGGCCGGTGTGACGCTGTGTCTGATTGGAACGTGGCCACACTGATTCTTCGTCTCTGAATGGAACACAGCCTGTGTGACGCCGTGTCTCTGATTGGAACGCGGCCGGTCCGACGCCCTGTCTGATTGGAACATGGCCTGTGTGACGCTGTGTTTCTGATTGGAACGCGGCCGGTCTGACGCCGTGTCTCTGATTGGAACGCGGCCGGTCTGAAGCCGTGTCTCTGATTGGAACGCGGCCGGTCTGAAGCCATGTCTCTGATTGGAACGCGGCCAGTCTGACGCCGTGTCTCTGATTGGAACGCGGTCGGTCTGAAGCCACGTCTCTGATTGGAAAGCGGTCGGTCTGAAGCCATGTCTCTGATTGGAACGCGGCCAGTCTGACGCCGTGTCTCTGATTGGAACGCGGTCGGTCTGAAGCCACGTCTCTGATTGGAAAGCGGCCGGTCTGAAGCCATGTCTCTGATTGGAAAGCGGTCGGTCTGAAGCCATGTCTCTGATTGGAACGCGGCCAGTCTGACGCCGTGTCTCTGATTGGAACGTGGTCGGTCTGAAGCCATGTCTCTGATTGGAAAGCGGCCGGTCTGAAGCCGTGTCTCTGATTGGAAAGCGGCCGGTCTGAAGCCATGTCTCTGATTGGAACGCGGCCAGTCTGACGCCGTGTCTCTGATTGGAACGCGGCCGGTCTGAAGCCATGTCTCTGATTGGAAAGCGGCCAGTCTGACGCCGTGTCTCTGATTGGAACGCGGCCGGTCTGACGCCGTGTCTCTGATTGGATCGCGGCCGGTCTGACGCCGTGTCTCTGATTGGATCGCGGCCGGTCTGACGCCGTGTGTCTGATGGGAACGCGGCCGCTCTGACATCACCTATCTGCCGTCTCCTGCAGCATCATCAACGGCTTCGCTCTGCCGCTCAAAGAGGAACATAAGATGTTTCTGATCCGGGTTCTGCTGCCGCTCCATAAAGTCAAGTCTCTGAGCGTTTACCACCCACAGGTCAGTGTTTGTCCTCCGCTGCTGCGTTTGTGGTTCTGCCGTGTCTGACTGCGGTTCTGCTCCCCAGCTGGCCTACTGCGTGGTCCAGTTCCTGGAGAAGGACAGTGGTCTGACGGAGCCGGTGAGTTTCCTGCCGGAGAGACCTGGAAGGTCCTGAGCTCAGGTGTTTCTGTGCGTTGACCTCTGACCCCTGCAGGTCATCATGGGTCTTCTGAAGTTCTGGCCCAAGACTCACAGTCCGAAGGAGGTGATGTTCCTGAACGAGCTGGAGGAGATCCTGGACGTCATCGAGCCGTCAGAGTTCGTGAAGGTGCAGGAGCCTCTCTTTAGACAGCTGGCCAAGTGTGTGTCCAGCCCTCACTTCCAGGTACCAGAGGCGGCGCCCGTAATGACGGCGGCTGGAGGCTGAGACGCTGATGGAGGTTCTGCTGTGGTTCCAGGTGGCTGAGCGGGCGCTGTACTACTGGAACAACGAATACATCATGAGTCTGATCAGTGACAACGCCGCTAAGATCCTCCCCATCATGTTCCCCGCTCTCTACAAGAACTCCAAGAGCCACTGGAACAAGTAAACACACACGGCTGGAACCAGCTGATCCACACCTCGGTTCTGCTCCTCATCCTGAATCCAGACCTTCAGTCTGGATCAGCAGAACATCTGCAGAGGGCAGAAGCAGAACAGCTGGATTCAGAACAGGCTCCTCCCACTCCATCCAAGGGCCGGTCTGACAGCAGCAGCTGGTTCTAACTAAGCTGGTCTTTCTCCTCCTCCTCAGGACCATCCATGGGCTGATCTACAACGCTCTGAAGCTCTTCATGGAGATGAACCAGAAGCTGTTTGACGACTGCACCCAGCAGTACAAGGCTGAGAAGCAGAAGTAGGTTCTAAAGCGCAGAGCTGCTGGACGATGATCCATCAACTGTCTGACATCTTTCTGCTTCCTGATGCAGAGAAAAATACAAACTGAAGGAACGAGAGGAGGTCTGGATGAAGATCGAGGAGCTGGCAAGACTGAACCCACAGGTAGATATCTGGATGGATGGATGGATGGATGGATGATGGATGGATGATGGATGGATGGATGGATGGATGGATGGATGGATGATCCTGATGGGGTCTCTTTGTTATTGTATCTCTTTAGAGTTCTAAGCTCCACCCCCTCCGGCCAGGACTCCACCCACAGGAAGAGGTTAGTTGCTGCGGTAACCTGTGGTCGGTCGGTGCTTTCTGGCCATCAGACTATTTTTGTATTTTTGAGCAGCGGTCATGGATTTCTAACGATCTATGACCGCCGCTCTATACTGCGATTAAATGAGGAGCTGGGATGGCTGGTGGTGGGGGGGGGGGTGGTCACAGTGACTCCGTCTGGTCTCCACCCACAGACCTTCTAAGCTCCATCAGAGGCGCCACCATGCAGGTTTACTGGCCGCTAAGCTCACTGGGAGCACAGAGCAGTGGTTCTGTTTATGTGCCGTCTGAGCTAAAATGGCCGACTGCACTAAAACGATGACGTAAACATGGCGGCTCTAATATTCTGGTTGGATTTGACAGAACCGTAATGAAAGCGTTTCCAGACTGTGGGGCAGTGCCCATAAACATTCCAAACAGCATTTAAACGTTAGCTATGACATTAGCAGGACTGTTAGCTGTGACATTAGCTGGAACGTTAGCTGTGACATTAGCTGGAACGTTAGCTGGAATGTTAGCTATGACGTTTGCAGGAACGTTAGCTGTGACGTTAGCAGGAATGTTAGCTATGACGTTAGCTATGATGTTAGCTGGGCTGTTAGCTAGGACGTTAGCTAGGATGTTAGCTATGACAGCTGTAACGTTAGCTATGACATTAACAAGGACATTAGCAAGGATGTTAGCTATGACATTAGCTGTGAAGTTAGCTTTGACATTAGCGGGAAGGTAAGCTGGGACGATAACGACGTTAGCTAGGATGTTTGCTATGGCGTTAGCTGGGACGTGAACTAGGACATTGGCCATGATAACTTGGACATCAGCTATGATGTTAGCTTGGATGTTAGCTATAACGTTATGATGTTAGCTGGGACATTAACTAGGACATTAGCTAGGAAGTTAGCTTTGACATTAGCTGGAAGGTTAGCTGGGATGTTAGCTAGGATGTTTGCTATGACGTTAGCTAGGACGTTGGCCATGATAACTTGGACATCAGCTATGATGTTAGCTTGGACATTAGCTATAACGTTATGATGTTAGCTATTACATTAGCTGTGACGTTAGCTTTGACAGTAGCAGGAAGGTTAGCTGGGATGTTAACTTGAATGTTAGCTATAACATTAGTTATGATTTTACCTGGGATGTTAGTTTGGACGTAAGCAGAGACGTTAGCTGAGATGTTAGCTCTGGCATTAGCTAGGATCCAGTTACCTGAGTGCACAGGTCAGAATATCTGGATAACTTTAGGATAATAGAAATCTGCTTGATTTAAGCCAGAATTAATTCCTGTCCTGCTCCAGGTGGGGAACGCGGTGAGATTGAAGGTGATAGAATAAAACAAATGGAACATTTTCCTACAGTGATGAACTTTATTAGTCCCAGCTTAGTCCCAGCATCAGAAGGTTCCAGTCCTGTAGGTGGGGAAACTTTGGGATTATTAGAGTTCAGCTAATTGACCTCTGACCCCATCTCCCTCAGTTCCTGATGTACAGCGACGGCGGCCTGGCCGTCTACTCCATGGAGACAGAGACGCCGACAGCAGAGGACATCCAGCTGCTAAAGAAGACGGTGGAGAAGGAGGCCTCACAGGTAGGAACATGCAGCTGTGACCTGTTCTCCATCCTGGAGCTGCTTCTCAGATGTTCCTCTGTTGGTCTGCAGGGTCTGAAGGACCTGAAGAAGGAGAAGGTCCTGATGAGGAGGAAGTCTGAGCTGCCGCAGGACGTCTACACCATCAAAGCTCTGGAGGCTCACAAGCGGGCCGAGGAGTACCTGACAGCCAATCAGGAGGCTCTCTGACCGGGGGAGGAGGTGCCCTCTGAGTTAGCTCCACCCCCTCCACCTGAAGGGGTCAGAGGTCAGAGCGGTGGAGTGACTGATGGGGCGGAGCAGACGAACTCAGGGCCGCCCCCTGGTGGTCGCTAACAAGTAGGACACTGTAGAAGCTCCGCCTCTTTGTCCCTGTGCTCCACTGTGATTGGACATCGCCCACCCCCACCACGTCCTCCAGACTAGCATGGCTGCAGAATGTTCCACAGCAGGAGCCTGAAGGTCCGCCCTCTGACCCCCACTGGCTCCGCCCCTCCCCTCCTGTCCTGCTGTGGCGCCGCAGGCAGACCTTTAGTTGGTTTAGGTCAGATTTCAGCTCTGAAAACATTCCAGGATGAAGAGGTCTGCAGCAGAACCTGCTGCGTTCTACTGCACCTGAACGCAGCACAGATGAACGTCCCGCATAACCTCACTCAGTCAATCAGAGACGCAGCTTCGGCGAGGAGACATGAATGTAGACGTCCAATCAGAGGCGTGGTCTGTCAGAGCGCCAACAGAGAGCCGTTCCTTCTCGACCCGGTTTCTGCTTCAGGCAGAACATTAAACTGGTTCTGCTCAGCATCACTGATGATGATGATGATGGGGAGGAGCTCAGCAGCAGGTTTTGCTCGACCATCCTGGTTCTTCGCAGGCGGTCGGAACCATTTGGACCCGACAGGCTGTAGAACTGAGCCCACAGACCCATCCTGATCCAGTCGGTGGAAAGAACCACGGCGCCCTCCAGGGGTAGGAGAGGAAGCAGGACGCTTCCCATCACCGTTAGCATGGGCGCTCCTGACCTTCCCGTACAATCTCCCACAATCCTTTGCTAACAGGATGCATAGTCATTAGCCCCATTTCCACTACCCTTTAGAAACCGAGCAGAGATCGGTCCCAGCACGGTAACCATGGTAACTGCTGAGCGTAAAGAACTGAACCGCACCGCGTTAGCATGGTGCTAGTTCATCAGTAGGGCTCGGTTCTCAATGAGCAGACCGCCTCATCTCCGTAAAATCCTAGCTTCCCAACCGCGCCACGATTTCTAGTGATGGTTCTGCTTAGCGGTGCGATGCCCTGATTAGACGATCGTTTGTCGTATTCACTTCCCAAAAAACGACTGTCAAGGAAATTGACCAAAGGCTGCCTGACTCTCTGCAAACTTCCTGAATGTTACGCCGCCATGTTGGTTTGCTTGTTTCCCTCTAAAGAGCAGTAGTACCATAGGTCGCCACTAGGAGGTGAGGAGCCATGCTAGCGTGGCGGTTTAACGGTCAGCAAGGATCGGTAGTGGAAATGGGGCTATAGGCTGTCTGAGCGTCCGCCCTGACCTTTGACCCCTCCATCGCTACATAGAGCAGGACTTTATAGTGAACTCGGTTAGCTAACCGTTCAGACAGACGATCGCTGCTTTTTCCTCCCTGTTGCTCACGTGACTCGCAGTGCTGCTCCATCTTTGTTTTTAGTCGCCACTGTCTGGTAGCGACCACAAATCCCATGATGCTTTGCGAGGAGAACTCTCTGTGCAAAGCATTCCAGGATATATCTGCTCGTAGATGATCGCTAAATCTCAAGGTGCATTGTGGGAAATTTTGAGTCCACTAGTTTTTCATCCAGTACACATTCAGTCATTTAAAATGGCGTAACCACGATATAGTGATTAGGGCGGGCGCTCCTTTCCTACCGTGGATCGACCTCTAACTGTTGACCCGGTGTTCTGTCAGACCAGCATAGAAGATTATTTTTCGTACAACACTAAAGGGATAAACGCAAATCTGACGTCTTGCGCTGCGTATTGACTATAGGTATGCCGGTCTGACAGAACAGCGGCCTTTCCAGCCCCCTGTGAGCTCTGCTGCTGTGATACATCTAAAAGTTCTTCTGGACCTCCAGTTTTCTGAGCAAGAGGTACCTGACAGCCTGTGGCCACGCCCCCTTCAGCTACTGATGGTCATGTCCTGCTGGGATAAGCTCCACCCCCTCCATCCTGGACAGAACGGGTCCGAGCTCCACACGGTCATCCTGTTTAAAGGTTTCATGGGCAGAGCTGGTTTTGTTCAGATGTTAATGTATGAAAAGCAGAAATAAAACAGATCCAGAAGCACAGGTTGGCCCCGCCTCCTGATTCTACATCAGAACACACACCTTCATCACCATGGAGACTTTTAATAAGGAAACAATCAGCAGGTTTGGTCACTAAATACATCACTGATGACCTCACTTCAGATTTTAGTCCAGAGTCATGGTTTGGTCTGGGACCCAGAGGCGCCATTCAGGGACAGCGTGTGTTTAAGTCATTGTGGTGCGTTCAGGTTCTGTGGGAATGGTGTAGTTCATTTTAAAGGTCACGGTGTGTTCAGGGTCCTGGGACGTTACTCCGACGCAGCATCCTGAGCCCAGCAGAACTCTGCCGCTCCTGCAGCGTGTGCTGGACCATGTCCTTCCACTGGTCGTCTGAGATCTCCTGGGCCCACGGCGGCACACCGAGGGACGGCAGCGCCACGGCCGCCATCGTCCTCTTCACCAGCTCCACATGCTCTGCAGGGACACAGGAAGTGATGTCAGCATTTGAGCAGTCCCCGAAGGCAGCGTCTGATTTATAAACGAGTCCCCGAAGGCAGCGTCTGATTTATTAACGAGTCCCCGAAGGCAGCGTCTGATTTATAAACGAGTCCCCGAAGGCAGCGTCTGATTTATAAACGAGTCCCCGAAGGCAGCGTCTGATTTATAAACGAGTCCCCGAAGGCAGCGTCTGATTTATAAACGAGTCCCCGAAGGCAGCGTCTGATTTATAAACGAGTCCCCGAAGGCAGCGTCTGATTTATAAACGAGTCCCCGAAGGCAGCGTCTGATTTATAAACGAGTCCCCGAAGGCAGCGTCTGATTTATAAACGAGTCCCCGAAGGCAGCGTCTGATTTATAAACGAGTCCCCGAAGGCAGCGTCTGATTTA